ACCGTTTAAGCTAAAAATCTGAAAATTAGTATACCGCCTAATTTTGGGTCGTTAATTTCAAAAATTTTATAAAATTCAGTGTCCATTATGTTGGGCAGTTGTACCCCAGGTTTGCTAAATGGGAAGTCCTCTAGGATAGAGTATAGATCCCTCCTTAATCAAGGGCCCGTTTAGGTGCTCACGTCAGTAGCGCCCTACCAAAAACTGCTTACTGAGCTTTCTGTTGTGCTCGCTAGCAGGGAGCATTTAAGCCTCGCTATGCAGATGATGTTAAGGTGACGTCTGATGGCATCCGCACTTAGTGAGCTCCAAAACCGAATAAGTCGGAGTGGCCCACAGAAGCTGCCTCTGGGTCTGCCGTGGAGTCTAAACTCATAAAGATCATGCACATGGATTGCTCTCGTAAAAGTCGAAATTGTCGTGCAACTGTAACTATGTATATGTATACCCAGCAGTACGATCATACCCCATTGCACTCTTATCCTTTATTACATAAATACACCCACTTCTACAACATGTTCCTCTTCCTACACATCCACTTGAAATTATTCAATCAGAATATTTCAAATAATTTACAGAATAAGAAAAAACGAAATTGACTGCGAGCATACATATACAAAGGGAAGAACATAATCAATGAAGACATTGCCGGCGATTCTTTTGCCTTGGCAATTCACCTAAATATATAATTCATTAAACTACGTTAATCTAAAAAGCGTGATTTGTGTAGACGATGAACTCTGCGATACGGTCAAATCATGGAACAGTGACGACAGCGGAATTTCGGACGTCTGATCAGTGTTGCCAGAAGTGAAGATTTATCTTACAAAATGAAGACTTAATGGTGGTACCTCAGAGGTGGTCCCATGGTAATTTGGTTTATATCCGATCTTTGCATCATGAACAAATTAATTAACGGTACTCTTTAACTCATATATGAGAATTGAATTCGTTTTAGTTTTTGGATAAAAATTACTTGTTTTCGTACACTGCTAAGAACATTTTCCAGTACGATAAGTTTCAAGTAGCTAAAAAAATAATAATATTTGAAAAGAAGGTTTTTGTTGGATGATTGTTTACAACTTTCGACATAGATGAGCACAACAACAGTACGTCGATGACCTATTTCGACTTTTGGTGATAGGAATCCATCAAAGGCTAGTGTTCATATGTAATTGGTTTAAGCGTGGTGGTACTTCTCGCCGATGAACATCGAGAAGGTCGTCCAATATCGGTTTGTACGCCAAAAAACATCGGCGCTGTGCGCAGGACGATAATGAAAGACATATATTGGGAAAGAGGCGGCCCTATGCATTCGCGCTCCTACCATACATACTACAGGGTGGCAACGAATAACTGTTACACAGATTTTTTTAATAAGAGGTTCCGTTATAGATTTTGCGAAAAAATATTTTATTGTTAATTTTTCACAGATTCTACTTTAATTCTATTAATTAGTTTTCTTAAATTTTAACCTTTAGTTGGGTTTACCAGCGATAAACACTGAGAGAAAAGCGCAAGCGGCACGCATGTCTTCGTCGGTTAATTTATTCCATATCTTCTGTACCCATAAGCTAATTTCTTCCATTTTGAGTCCTTTCGACTCCCTCTTTTTGTCCAACAAAATACCTCATACTCAGAAATCGAAAAAACTCGGAACTGATGACTAGGACGGCTATTCATTTGACCAACCCTATACTCTTTCTTTTTTTTTATAATATATGTATGTATGTCTAAACTTGTAAATTTTGACTGTTACAGAGTGATATGTTATTTGGAATTCGTTTTATTGAGATGAATTCAATTTCTATACAAAAATTTCTATCTGGATCTAACACAAGTGCACAAAAAAGGCTAGCGCGGATTGGTGTGGACAAACGCTGCACGCCATGTGCAGACAGTTAAATCTCATCGTAACAGCTGACGGAACTTGTATAAATATGTTATGAGCTAAAAAGAAAAGGCCAATCAGCTGTACGGATCTTTCAAAATAAGAAAACCCCCACAAAAGTGGTTCGCGCAGGAAGCACTATGAAAAAAACGGTCGCAAAATTTCGGAAAAATTGCCAGTTATGAGTTTTCAACGGTCTTTCGTCAAGCACAAATTCGAGCTCTCACACACGTAATATTTTTTGTTCTCATGCATCTAGGATAAACTTGGTGGGCAACGATTTTCATCGCCAAAAGGAACTGTTAACGCGTTTAAAGCGCATGCTTTTCAGGTACCGATTTCACTGCTGGAAAATGGTTCATCAATTAGTTTGAGCGTGTGTAAAAGTGTTTTTTTTTCGTAGATATTCTAAGCACTTATTTAGCGACCCTCGTAAAATATGTTTTTTTTTGCGATAAAGTAAACAAATTGAAGTTATTTTAAATTGAAACACAAAAAAAAAAAATTTGGCCCAAAAAAAGTTTTTTTTCTGTTTCTTATTTTTCTTCGATTATTAAACATTTAATCTTCCTTTGACAAGACGAAGACTGTCTGGCAACACTGCGTCTGATCCGAATACATACCTACGTAGTACATATATGTACGTACGAAGTAGAGCATTCAATCCCGACATCACGGACCCTTTGCCGTGCCCCGAAATCACGGGATTACAGCTTCGTGATCCTGAAATTTTTATTGATTTATTTACATAATCAGGCAAGTTCTAGAGTCCGAGTGAAAGTGAAGTTGAAAACAAAAAAAAAACAAATAATTCATTTCATAATGCATTTGACACCAAAAAGCGGAAATATAGTACACCAGAATTTGGATTCAAAATGAACTTGGGTAATTTTTAATCGCAAGAGAATTTCAATACTTGCCTGAATAACTGTATGTACTTGTATAAACATTTTGTGCAAGATTGGTAGCAATTGAAAACACAAAAAACTTGTACAGTGTTGTTCTTCATTTTAATTTGTTGGCGTGGTTTTAACAATCAATATAGATATTTAAAAATATTTTAACATTAAATTTCAGAATCTTTTACTAAGGTGCATTATGCTCCGCAAACGACCTGTGTGTGATAAAGTCGAAATTGCAATTAATCCCGAGGTAAGAATTTTTCGCATACGGATTTTCCGGGATTGAATGCCCTAGTACGGAGGCACGCTTGATTAATACTTACTCGTGCCGCATTTAGCATTTTCTCTTCTATCTCCAGTCATATTTCGGGTTAAATTGCGCTTTTATTTAATTTGTTCTACATATAAATTATGTGTT